AAAAGGGTCATCAGCCTCGTGACTTTCATCATGAGACATCATAACTCTTCTAATTAAAGAACTTCTAACTCCCATGACAGTTTAAATGGTTTGAATTATTTCTACGGGATGGAGTCGTTAAACCCATACCCAACCCTCCTCCTGGGCTTGGAACCGGTAGTAGCTCCAGAGGGGCTTCCAGTTCCCGCCACTTTCAAGAAGATGCACTGGAAGTGGACAAGGCACACGTTGAGGAAAACACTCAACTGCTTTACAGGGCAAGCCCTCACATGGAATCCTGAAGGCTAAGCGAGAAGAGGAAGATCAAAGAACACATTACGCCGAGAAATGGAGACAGACACGAGAAGAATAAACTAAAATTGGCCCAGGACAGACTAGGTTGGAGAATGCTGGTCGGCAGCCTATACTCCATTGGGAGTAACACGCGTAAGTAAGTAATTCAGACCAATATCTAACTTCTGTACCACTGAAACATTTTTTATTTTTGTTGGTAAATAATCAGTGGCCAATGTGATCAAGTTTATCTAGTGGTTTTTTCAGTGTTAATTAAATCTTATCAGTTAAGTTGTAATATTCTCACTAATCTAAGTGACTCTATCCTAGTGAATTATGTTTGCGTAACCGAAATCGGTCGGTAAGAAACACTGGTGCGGGGTTTTATGTTGATTTTCATAAGTAAGTAAGTATATATGATTAGACAAATATGACATTTGTCCCTACTAAGTTCCAACTAAATAATAACTCAGCCTTGATCCCTCTAGAGCCACTGCCGGTCCCAAGCCCGGATAAAAGGGGAGGGTTGGGCATAGGGTTAGCGACCCCAACCAGTAGAATACTAACTCGCTAGAAAACGCTAACCATAAGTGACCATTCAACATAAAGAAAGCTTGTTTGTTGATGAGGTTCTTATTCTAGGTAACATTCAACAAATAGATCATGTTAAAGTGATCTTTTTCAAATTATTTTCCTAAGCAATAAATTTATAAGTTTAAAAAAATAAATGTTGATTTTTATTGGTTTATACGTTTGTTCAATAAAGGAGAACATGACTGTTTACGTGTCATATTCTCGTAAATTTTTCTTTTTATTTAATCGGTGATTACATGAGAAAATGTTTTGGTCAGTGTATATATTATCCCAACTAAACATGGAAAAATATTAACATTTGGTACAGTACATATAAATATTTCATAGTTTGGATTATGTACATACTTTCATTAGACAATTATTAAAAGCCAGAATACTGTTAACAATTGTCTTGTCTCACTGTGCGACTCATCAATAATGCTTATCCACAACTTCATAGAGATCGAACCCGTCGGTCTCACAACAAAATAATTAAGTTCGTATCCATACATATATATATGAATATTCCTTCCTCTCATCATTTATAAAAATCATTTATATCAATCCATAATGTTGATTTCCAAACACAATCATACATGTTTAGACTATTTTTGTCCAGGATGATTGAATAAACATGTACACATGTATGAAAAAACGTATATGCACGCATTTTCTACTTCCTTAGAGCATTGTGGAGGTGGCAAAGTGGAGGGGGACAGTAATTTATAGTCATCTTATAAAAAATGTCAGCGAATAAGTGTTTTCATAAAGAACATTTGTCATAGATGTGCTTTCAGAGATAACACTTTTATCGGTTGAGTTTCCAGGGATTAACCTTTTACTAGGAGATTTACTTGTTGACTTGTAATAAGCATTTAATATGAATCTATTTGGTGAAGACGCTGACAAAATATAGAGTCTTCTGACCACTTGAAGCATCCGTGCAAGCAAGACAGGTAACTAGGTATACGGGTAATAAATAATCATAACTAAAACCTGTTTTTGAGGTGTAAATTCATTAAAGTCGTACAAAAATGTAAAATGGTAGAGTCAATTACAAAAAAAACACTGAACATATACATATGGAACAGTATCAGGGATATGACAAAGTGAATCAATATCAAGGGTTAGTTATTTTTACATAAAAATTAGTGAAATTTAATTATCAAATGGGTCTTAAGTAGCCAGCTTTAAAGTGAAATATTATTTCATTGTAATCATGAAGTGATCATGGTTAGACAAACACTGAAATCCTGGAAGCACTAGACGGTCGTTTTATCCTAGTACTGGATACCTAAGTATTGTCTAACATTGACCGGTTTGTCATTATAATGTAATTGAATAATCTCCAAAACCTTACATGGACAAGTATCATGTCCTCACTAGTGACTAGCTATGACTGTTCTTTCTCCTCTTCTTTTCTCTTTTTTTTCTGGATGGTTTTCCATCTTCAACAGATAACACTTTTGTTAAATATTCGGACGATATCACTGTATGCATACCGATTTCTGCCTCTTCACATCACCTTAAAATAAATGCGTCCTTGTTTCTTATTGAACGATGTTCCTTTGTTCATGGTCTAACACTTAATCTGTCTAAATATCAAACTGTTAACATTGGCTTGAGACATAAACAGCCCTTAAACACTATGTTGGATTCACGTAAAACTTGTACTATTGAAGATTCTTTAATAAAAACACTGTCAAAGATCATTTATCTTGGTGTAGGTTTTTCCTCTTATCTCTTTTGGTCTTCTCATGTTTCATTGTTATTAAAGAAAGGCTTTCGTTCGACTTTCTACATGCTTACTGCATGCTTTTGTGACTACTGGATGTTTGCTTCTACGATTTGTTAATTCTTGAATATTAACTATTATTCTTCTTCACTGTTCTCCGTTATTCTCTCACAGGTCTGTAGTGACCTACTTTTATCAACAGAACGCGATTGGTATAATGGAAACAATTACTATCATAAACAACTGTACCAGGGATTGTTTTACTGTACTTTTTTGTGTAACTGTACTAAGAACACACATTCTTCCGTTGATTGTGACCTTTCACGAACTTACGTTCGCTAAGTAGTTCCACTTGTACTCCTTTGGCACGATCTCGGTATTCTTTCGACACCACGAGTGAACAGCCGTTTCATCCTAATATGGGATTCATCAGGCGTGCAAAGAAATTTACCAATCTTCCCAAAAACCTTCATACTAGCAATAATGTGTTCACTAGTAACTAACTTTGAGATCCAATTCCTGTCACCCTAATGAGAAGCCATATTAATCAAGTTCTGACTGTGGCCAACCGATTTTAAATATACCTTAGAAGCCCGAATATTTTAGCGGTAGCGCGTTTTTTTCCCACGAATCTATATGATGTGGTTTCAAATCCTGTGACGACTACATATTTCACATTAGTACGTTGAGTTTCTAAGAATAATTCATTTTTCAAACAAGAAAGTTCATAGATGCAAATACCTTTACTTCTATGTGTTTTGAAAGTCATGAAATAGGTTTTTAATTATTTTTCAAAAGATAATCTTTTCTGATTATTATTTCTCCTTCTTTCTCTCTGTTCTTCATCAAGTTGAAAGTATAAATTTTTCTCAATAGTTGAGGATGCTTCAAAATTACTTAGATATTCAGGGGTTTACATAATTTAATTATATTTGAATAATTGATATAATCCATTACATATATAAGATCAAGTCACATTTTATGTTGATCATTCAATGTACCTTATTTTCTCCAGATCGATTTTATGCAGCATAACGTAATACTTTAGGTTGTGGTGTGTGCTGCTTATATTGATGTAAGTAGTATATGACACGGGTTAAAAACGTAATGTCTGGCAGCAGAAGATGGGGAAGATCAAGAAAAGAAGAGCGAGAACACAATGCAATTTGTAAGAAACGCATGAACAATGAAATGTGAGACAATGGATTGATGATTGCAACAGGAACAGTCTGGTTTGATAAGATGGATTAATATTTTGCAAACTGACGATTTATTATATAGTTTTTCTATTTTGCTAAGTAACTCTGTAATTTTATGCTAAATAAGATTCGATTGTCCCCACCCGTGCTCTGTTTACAACAGGTTACCATAAATGTTGTTTTTTTCTTCCAATTAATGGGAACAAGGAGTCATTCAACACAGTTTAGTATTTCAGCTATCCAAACTTAATCGTTTCTAGTAAAAATATGAGTTAATACAAACAATCAAATAGTAAAATGTCTATTATTATAATCAGATATAAGTTTGTAATGTCAATAAGCTCTTACCTTTATTCAACAAGGAACTTAGAGTTTTCATCAACTTCTATTTGCTTTCAAAATAGTGTTAATCATGAACTGATGTTCATTGAGAAATCTTTGTAAATCAAGATATCATTGACACACCTATTTTATCCTAGGCTTGAATTGCTCAACTAAGACCACTACAAAGATTAAACCTTGAAACTTCAAATCACTCAGTTAACATATTACTTTGTTAAGAAGTCAGTCAATATCCCTTAATTTAAAATCACACCTCAACTATAAACAATCTATAATGAATATCATCTTGAGAATTGAACCAACCTCCACAAAATCCATTCCATTATATTATATTATTTAATAGTATTAAAAAACCTTATAGCTTATTGTTCAAATGGATGAAAACATTGTTTTCAGTAGTAAATAACCATCATGATTTTTTTTTCTTCTTCTATTAACAATGACAAATGAATGTGAGTATAAAGCAAGATATAAGCAAAATGCAAAATTAATATCAGACGAATTAATAAATACTACTTATGTACCTAAACAATGGTCAAACACAAACTGAAAAAGAACTTTGAAAAGTCAAATGTAACTTTGAAAAACAAACAAATTGAACAGTTGACAATAAACAATCAATAATACTGATGACATGACAAACAATTAGATAGACGGACAGATATATAAACAAACAAATAAACAAACAAACAAACAAGGAAACATAGATTTACCATGATTGTAATCATCGAGATAAAGGGGATTAATGTGATTACGTAATAATAAGCAATTTATAAACTGTTGCCTGTTTCAGATAAATGAAATAATGAAAGAAATATTATTAATCAATATTTATGTAACAATGATCAAATCTTGGATTATTTAAGTGATGTTATTATTCATTGTGGCACTTCATTGGGGCTGGTGGTTTCAAAGAAGTGTTGAGAATTTTTTTGAATTATTTTGACTAGATCTATGAAATGAAGCAAGAACAAAAACAAACAACAATAGAGATTATAATAATCTATCATTAATATAGATATTGAAAGTATTCCTTAGTATAATCAGATAGGGGTTTTGTGGATATTATTAGTAATTTAATAGTTGAATTTATGAGTCAATTGAAGTTAGACCATTATGGAAAATCTGGAAGCACTGGACGGACGTTTTGTTCTGGGTATTTCATGGAGTTGTAGTGAGAAGCAACGACAAGTGGAGTTTAACCGGGTCTGTTCTGAGATAGTAACCCAATGATGACAATGGTGGACGGTGGCGCAGCTTCATAGGTTGGTTGAAGTTAGACATTAACACCGTTGGATGCCGGCTCACTGGTCTCGAGGTTAAGCCCTCGCGTGCGAGACTGAGGGGTCCTGGGTTCGAAACTCGAGAGGCAGGATCGTCGATGCGCACAGGTGAGGAGTCCCGTACTGGGGCGAAACAGTCGTCCAGTGTATCCAGGTTTTCCATGGTGGTCTAGCTTCAATTGACTCATGAATTCAACTATTATATTCCCGAATAGTTTTATTCATTCTAATGATGTGCTCTTCAGCAGTTCTAGTTTACAACCTCACAGTCGATGATCAAACCCAAAACCTATAAGTCTCATGATGAATGTCTAAACTTCAGAGTATTGAGCTAGCATTTATTGGTTGACATTACCAACTTAAATCATTTCATGATGATTTATATCCATCTCCCAACGTGAAGGTTCGAGCACCAGTTAAAGCAAAAAATACCCCTATACAATATATCTTACGCATTAATAAGTTTGAATAAAAAAGTCAGGTCTGATTGACTGGAACTGAAAATGGTAAACACTGGATAAAGATCTTCCCAATTTAAAGTAATCATATTTGTCACAAAACATGAATATACTTGATTCTGATCATTTTAGCTTGAAATCTTAAAACGAAACCTCTATCAAGTGTTTTGTTTTCAGTTCTCAACAGTTTTCACCTCATATCACCATCAAAACATTTGTTTTTCTTTATAAATCTACCTTAATTTTAAATTGCACAAACTTACTTCAGATTGGTGTAGGGTAAAAATCTTATCATCGATTTAAAAAGTTGAATTCGACTTGCTAGAAAGTCAATTAAATCAGATAACGTGGTCCATCTTTCATGAACGAATAGAAAACTAAATTAAACATGGGGTTTTTATCATTTCCACCTAAAATATAATTGCAATTTCTATGATTCGACTTTCGAAAGAGATATCATCTATCTATCTGTCTATCCATCCATATGTCAGTTGATGCACATAACTAGTTAATATCGAATGTCCAAAATAATGTAAACTCCCTGCTGCAAACATCTAGATCTTGAATACAGGTTTCTAAATGGTCAGTGGTTCAATAGTCAAGTGCTCGCCAATTACGAGGGTAGTCCGCGTTCGACTCCCAGCAGGCGCGCGTCGCTTGCCTCTAAATGCCCTGGTATGGCCGGGGGTGAGGAAAGTCAGCCTTCCGTCACGAAATGTTCTCACATGGCCACATACATATAGCCACTATCAGGGAAGTACTACTCACTGCCCTTTCTTAGTGGCGTGTTTTAACCACGAAATTGAAGGAATGAAAAGCGAATGACTGGCACTTCAACTGAGTTGGTGAGTACGGGTGATCGACCTAGGGGAGTTAGAAAACCCTGATTCCAAACCAATGGTGCATATGGGCTCTAGGATCCTGAAGGAATAAATGGTGTATGAACCTATTGTTGGTCACTGGATACCAAGGGACTGCGTCTCCTTATATTGCTCCATTGTCTTGTGGGTTAGACCTGTGAGTCAAAAGCTCGGGGTGTGACCCCTTAGGTAAACTGTCTGCTTCGGTTTGGACGCTTGAGCAGTATTCCATTCCTAACACAAATCGAATGATTAATGTAGCGCATATGTATTTGGTGCTTCGTTGTACAAATGTTTATATGTCTAAATAAATTTGAATAGTCACGTTAAATACACAATGAAAAATCAAAATTATGTAATTTATTATTGTTTTATAGACTAACCATTCGGTAAATTGGTTGCACTGGCTTGTTTACGTAAAAAGTCCATACATAATTCTTGTCCCATTCCTAAAGTATACATACGCCATAGAAATTTGCTAAAAAGCAAAATATTGAACAGTAAAAGTTTAATTTAATTTCAGATGACTTGGATTATCATGTTGTTGATATTTTTGACTGAATTTGAATCAGTCTAGGTTGGCATATGGCATCCAGTAATCATCGCCTCGATATAGTCATTATGATACAATCTGATATCGAATAAATACAATGTGACTATCAGTGGAATCCAGGATACACGTTTTACGCCACTTAAAATTCGTCAGCTGAGTGTACCTGGATCCTAGAATTGATGTACACTGAGGGATCGGATTATAAATGAGGTCAATTTTAATAGTATATTACTGAGTTGTATGATAAACCGTAGGATATACCCTACGATTTCTAAGCCAAACTGTTGAGGATATATACATTTCCTATACAATTGGATACATCTGACAAGTTTCAAACAGAAAGAAACGTGGGTTATAGATTTTACTGCTAGACACATTACATCTACTCTACTTCAGTAAAAATGTAGTTACTTAACTATTCATGTACTTGTTACCGATATTTTTCAAAGGGAATTCCCCTTTCCTTGGCTTTATAATACTTCATCTTAAGTTACGGAATAGGGAATAGCTTATAATTCATAAAAGTAACTAGAATAATAGAAATTTCTATCAGTAATGATGTCTTATATGATCATGTTCAATCTACTTACATTTACTAACTGATCATATGGAGGTTGAATATATCACAGACTACTCAATAATGATTTGATTATTTACTATTTTAAAATTAGTTACAATCTTTGGCAATTATTGAGTATATATTCATTTGGAAAGTACTAGAAACAGTTGTTCATTTCTTCTTCGTTTCAGTAGTAGTTATTTATCAAAAGTAATAGTTAGGTGTAACGTATGAAATGATTAATTAACGATTGATAAATGATTACCTAACTACATGAAATACCAAAGAACACAATTCACCAAGAATCGGAAGCAGATATAAAAAGGGTAAATAGCAATTGGAAAGGATTGCCCAGGACAGCGTTGGATAGAGAATGCTGGTGGAAGGTCAATGCTCATTCATAAGGGGTGACAGGCATAAGTATGTAAGTATACAGCCACAACATATTTTCGGTTATAACTGTATCATTAGTTACCTACTTAGTGACTCTAATGTTTGTGTATTCACTGCAAGACATGAACATTTGAAGCTCGATCTATGAAGAGGCCACGGATGAACACAGTTGGTTCTTTTACTAGTACTCAACAACTATTATGATACACTAACTCTGACGAATCTATGACAAATACACTACACAAATTGAATCATTCTTCACGAAACATCATGAACTAAGAGAATGACATATTCTGAATTGCTCAATCACCTCACCGATCTTTCATTTATGTTAATATGAATTCTAATTTCATTCAATCATAAAATAAAACTCTTAACAAAGTCTCTACATGTAAATCAAACTATTTATTATTTTAAACAAGGTATAGCATGTAAGGGTACATTGTTGTGAGTTGCCTTGTTTTGTTTTATTTTTCTTTCTTCTTTAAACAAAGAAAGAGAAACACGAAAATCCCACGACATAAACATAAAACAGAATGTTGTTTTTTATCAATAATTTATATGTTAGACTGTAATGAATGAACCTTGTTGTGAATTGTAGTCATTAATTTTTCATTTTTAGTATAGACACTATGATTTCACAACTATTGTTTATATAGATATACTTGTTTTTCATAGTTTAAATCATGGGTCATGATACGTCTGTCATGTCCTTCCTCCTTTTCACTGGGCTTTTTTTAAGGAAAAAAATAAACTACAGTCCCTCCTCCATAACGCAAACAATGAAAAGAAATAAACGAACAAGTTTCATCTTTTCATAATTTTAAAATAGCAGACAAAATGATCTCAAATGAGTACAGATAAAGTTATGTTAAAACTAACGTTTAAAATAATCTCGTATCAGTTGGTTGGTATACTGGATAGCATACTTTTATCGGAGGGAATAGTTTGGATGTTATTCTATATACACTATCACAGCTGGTAAATAGATGATAAGGGGCGCAGTCGGTCATCATTACTGCAGAGTATATATATACATATAATATATGGTCTATGCTATTTATGTTTATCAACATAAGTATTATGTAACACCAATCAGAAGTGGAATATCTGGTATTGGAAGGTAAAGGTTATGAAATTGAAGAGAACGGTGCTGTAAACAGAGAGTAGTTGTTATAACAACAGGAATGAAAGAACGATGAAGTTTGTAAGCGATAAATGTTGGATGATGTGTATTTAACATAGTATATTAATTCATTTCTAGCTCATAAAATATGACAAACATTTGTATACAACTGAATTTCAACATACACTTTACTCAACAATTTAGCATAACTAGTATATAGGTTGTGGAGATTATTAGGTTTTTGATTGAGATCATGAACCGATTGATGTTAGACCATCACAAAACCTAGAAACTACCACCATTGAGTGCCGGCTCAGTGGTCCAGTCGGTTAAGCGTTCGCGCGCGAGGCCGAAGGCCCTGGGTTCGAGTCCTGCTCGCGGGATCGTGGATGCGCACTGCTGAGGGGTCCCGCAATAGGATGAGACGGCCGTCCAGCGCTTCGAGGTTTTCAATTGTGATGGTCTAACATCAATCGGTTCATGATCTCAATCAAAAATCTAGCATAAATAATTTAAAATTGAAACATCGAACTCCAGTTAATGTATGGGATAGGCGAGGAAAACAATTCAAGTAACCTTTATCACTTTTGTATTCTTCGTAATGTTAATTAAAAGAAACGGGATGTAATTACTAAGTGAATTCGTTTGATAATTATCAAGATGAATGATTAATATCTTAGTCATTGGCTTATTTTTAATAATTTCGTTTAATATTGTATTGGAGGACCTTTAAAAGATTTATTATTAACAGTTATTTACTATATATACAATGGAATAATATTGAAATGTCACCGGATATGTGCACAGTTGAAGAGTCTTATATTAGAACGAAAACTATCCTGTGTGAAATGATTCTTGATAGTTGTTCAATTAACACCAGTCTGTGTTGCAGACTAGAATCTTATACTGTAGTTGACAAACAGGTCATAATAAATTTCAAGTAGAAGAGATTAGTAAAACTTGAATTTTATTACCGTCAATCCAAAATACAATTTTGATATTCTATTTCAGACATTTTATGAGAATTTACTTTTGTTCGTTCATGTAAAGTTGAAAATCAGGGACTATAGAATAAAACTGGTTTAAAATCCCTTGACAGACCACATGGACAACCTGAGAGACTTCTATGATCTTTAATGAGCATTGATAAGGTGTTTTCCATAACAATGAATCAGTTGTTCAGTTCATCGTGGCATTACAGCTGATGTCGGTTCCTGATGAAAACCCTAAATCTAATTTCTAACCTTAATCATCAACTGTAAATCATAATTCTAATTCTTCACACAGGTTTATAACACTCATTTGGTCCTGGTTATTACGTGGACACTCTCAAGGTCAGTCTAGCGTCGCCCAATGGTCATCCAAAAATTATAGTTTCACCGGAGATTCGAACAGTAGAAGCATAAAATTAATTGGATTTATCAGTTATTGCTGGTATATTTTACAATTTTGTTCAATTTTCAGTGGTCCTTGCTTTATGTTGACTCATGAAGATTGTGTTCTAGAAGACAAAAATAACTGGAGAAAATCGTTGTCTGTCATTAAAGAATTTCGGTACAATGACTGTATAAAGCTTGAAACGATAAAGTTGTTTGACTAGGTAGCATTAAAATTTATCACAGTTTAGCCTCGACTTCGGCTGATTACTAACTACAAAATCAGTAGTACTATCTCATTTGAAAGCAACATAGTCACATGAATCTCTGATTGAAGTGAAACTAAGTAAGTTTTTTTCCCGTACATACATCAAACTACAAAGAAACCAAGCGTATGAATATTCCCTTGATAATATGTCAGTAGAAACTTCAGTGTAAAAGTTTATTTGAAATATATTTGAAAAAGATTATTTAGAAAAATAGGACTATAAATATTAAATTATGCTATTAAAAGGGAATCTCCTTGACACTGAATGGGACATATTAAAAAGCCGACTGCAAGTAACTTAGTCCTTTATTCTTCGTAGTAACGTCTTCTATCTAGTGCACCACAACACAAAGCCCAAATGAAAAAGTTCTTGTTGATTACATTTGGGGATATCTTGAACAAACACCACAGTAAATACTTGTGATCAAGGTAGTTACCCAGTGCTTATTGAGAAAAAAAGGATAAAACTACCAACCATCCTATTCAGATATATATTTATTGTGGTAAGTACACTTTGTCTACAGGGAATGTAACTTGGATTCTGTTGTTATGAAAAAAGACTACGGAAAACTTTGTACATTCAAATAAATTCATCACAAATTATCAAGTTAATGACTATAGTGAATTAAAGGTTTTATTCTTATTACTTCATTAGTTATGATCAAAAGCAGTGTCAAAACGTTTTCCGGAACTACTCTTGTCATCTGAAACAAAAATCATTTACTCTCATTTAAGATGGGAGACATACACATACAACTATCTACTCAATACTAAAACTGTTTGTTCGATCTAATTGATTTCCTTATCTCCATCTTTCTAACTTCATAGAACAAATGCATTTGCAACCAGTGATGGAACACACGATGTAAGATTCGTTGATGCTGGAATCTGTCATCAAAATATTCTTACATCGCCTTTTTGATGTTTACATTAAATTTAGTAGCTTGCCTGAACCCTACTTTTCTTTTTTCTTTAACACGTTATACTACTTATCAATATTCAGTAACTGATGTCAGTTTCACTCATTTTTGAGTACATGTTATAGAATTTACATGAACCTGTGACATTTTATCGACTTCTTAATTTAACTGCATCCTCTTAAAATTCCTGGCGATTTGTTTTCATGTGTTTAACGTTCATTTGACATTTGGTTTCTCGCAAAACTTTTATCTAGTTCAAAAAGTCACCGTTTCGACTGGTTGCTTTCTACTGTTTAATTTGACACAACTACTAAATATTACTTGGTATAACGTATGCTCTTGGTGAATTGTTCTTATGTAACCAGATCATGAAGTACTTATTCCCAGATCGTACCTAATTATCCGTAATTTTTTAAGGTTTCTCCCGATCTAAGTTCTATTAACTGTATATATAAGCATTTATTTAATAATAGTATCTTATTTTGAACAAATCATATTGCTTTGGATTTGGAATTTCATGAGTGACTCAATCATTTGATCTAAATCTCAGAGCGAATCTCACCAAATGTACTGAAGTAAACTTTACTCGACAGTAAAATATATATTCTAAAATAATTCTAACTCACCTTAACTGTGAATATGCAATGTCGTTTTGAAAGTCAGTTTCCGCTTGGATTGGATCATCGCCTTCAATGCTAAATAAAAGGGAACAGAAAAAAATCAAACACAATAAAACATAGCAAACATGGTAAAACGAACGAACTCAGCTCTATTTTAAAATATTCTCTCTCCTTTTAAATTTCAAGGTGAAGTCATCCAGTTAAAAGGTCGATACTTAGTATCTTTTTTTTCAAAAGTAGAGTAAAATCGGTACAAGAATTCTATTCTGATGGCTTATATCTGTAAATATAGGACCAAATAAACTAACATTTATCTGAAAATACAGCATTATTAGACGATGTGAAAATAATTAGTCAAGATATGGAAGCTTCGATTTACAAGATATTCGTCAATCAATTAAACGCTTTATAAATGACAACAAAAGAAATGAATAGAATATACCTCAAATCAGTCTTTATTAATATGTCAGTTGACCTGTATGTACTACTCAATGATAACAGAATAAAACCATGTATAGAACTGTATATGATACATGACTGTATACAACTATAGTATCAGAAACTAGAAAAAAAACATATGTAAGGAGTTATACTTACAAAATAGATAATCAACTTGAAAGAAATGGGATTTTAGAAAGTAGGTAGCACAAAGTAACAGACATATGAAGGGGTAAGAGATTATTAATGCGCATAAAATTATGTGCTAAGATGTTGAAATAAAAAAAATTACCGATTTGAATGAATGGTCGGTTACAACAAAAAAATACTTATTATTCGGTGAAAAGTACGAGGCCTAAAGACGTTAAATTTATGCTCAAACTAATAGTGTCGTGTTCATTTACTCATCTTTAAGAAACAACGATGACAGTATGTGCACAGTAGATGTTCAGTGTTTAAGATATTCGAATTTGAGCCTCCAGATGTCAGGTTCAAATATTGAACCACCTACTTGTGTTTTGGAAATCGGTTAGTATCATTGGATTCAAGCCTAGCATATTAATCTGTACTTGGTGAATGAGTTGAAATAAAATAAATTTGAATAAAAACTATTCATTTGTAATGTTTATTGACAACTTATTTCTATATTTTGACCAGTAGACTACCACTAGTAAAATATTCGTGAAGTGAATGCAGTACAATCTGTGTGTTTTCCATACGTTTGAACTTCATTTTGTGAACCAAACCCCAAATATATTCTTCCTCCTTAAATTTCTGAGCTTATATTGAATAAATGGATTATGGTTAACAGCGGAATCCAGGACGGCTGTTTTCACATATATGGGAGTCTTCAGCTGGATGTACTTGGATCCTAGAGTTGATGATCCCTCCGGATGAACACATGCCGAATAAGGCTGATCAAAATCCGGTCAAGATGTCAACAACTAGATAATCTAAGCTATTACAAATTAAGTTAAAATTTATACGGGTTGAATAAGTGAACAGATGTCTGAACTCCGTAGCAATGTGGATAATGTGTCGGACGTTTCAAGCTAAAGCTACTAGGTTTAAGTTCTAATATGAAAATTAACACTTCAACGTAACTACATCCGGTTGAAGAGTCCCAAATCGGATGAGATACACATCGGGAATCCACCTCAACTCAAATTCTATCTGTTCTACGTAAACATGTAAAGGATGTTTATGTAGAGACAATCAGCATGAAATATGCACATATAAACTAAAAGCTGATCAAAATTCATTCAAAATATCAATAATTCAAAACACTCTTCACTAAACTGTATGAACAGTGAGAGTAAAGCCGATTCTACCAGACATGTTTCTACTGTACTTCATATTCTTTGTCACAGGACATTACATATGCATATGTAATTATTTTCACTATTGGATTCATGAGTAGATGTAAACTAAACCACTACTGGGAACCTGTAAGCACTGGATGGCTGTTTCGTCCTAGTATGGGACTACTCAGCATTGCACATCCACAAGTACGCATGCGGGACCCAAATACAGGAACTTTGGTCTCGAGCAAACACTTGACTTTTAGACCTGACGGTATTAATGTCTAACTTCAATCTACGCATGATCTCTCCCAACCCTTCAAACATTGTCATCGGTGGTTTATGTCTTACACCCGACACGGATTGGACTCTATTTGTCACGACTTCAATGATGCTTTAGCTTAGGTCAACTCATGAATCGAACAGCGAAAATACTACAATCTCCACAATTCCTCATACTGATATATTTATTTGTTTATAAAGACGAATCGTTAAGTCGCGCCGTTTGAACGCTCAGCAAAATGTTTGTATATTAATACAAACACTTATCTTTGTGAACTATTCTCCGTTTATGACAATAAACATCAGTTCATTACTGACTGTATTTCATTATTTGGTTTGTTTGAAATGACAAAGATTTACTTCTTATGAAGATGCTTTTGTTAGAAATGTTGTGTATTTTAAACTATTAAATGGCTAATCACTGAGATTTCATTGTTGTTCTAAACAATACTATCAGAGCCTACTTCATGCCGAATTGAGCTTTCCAGTCATTTCACAAACGTTGATTCAATTCTTTCTAATAGCCTTATATGTGATTGATCGTCTTTATTTGTACTTGCATTAACCTTGAATATCCATTTCAGTCGACCTCTGACCATGTATTTAACTGAGCTCTTCAATATAGGTTGATGTTACTATTGATTGTCAAATAATTTGAATTCCATCCTTCTTGAATTTCTACATCATACTTGTAGTTTCGTTGCTTCATAATTTTGACATCTCAATCGAATTTATGTTCATGATTGTTCACATAGATTGATTTCAGTGATGTATAACTTCCTGTGAAATAGACACTGGTGGTATTGACCAAAACTACAATGTCAACTTCCGAACTAAACCATTCAGTTCAAGCAACACAACGCCAACGATATGCGTAAGTTCACTGAATTATTTAAGCGTGATTGTGAATGCACAAATATGTGTAAAAAGAAAATCAAATCAAAGAAAGATATACTTACACTGGATATCTTTGACGTTCAGCCCGTTCACGTTGCAAAGCGATGAAAAAGGCAGCATTCCAGAACCTCATTGACTGCCAAATCACTTGATCTTTCAATAATACATAAAGATATTTTTGCTCAGCGGTACCATTTGAAGAGACAGCTGAAAACAGTAAATAATGCAAATAAGATGATGAGTGTTATAATATCTCACAAAACATAGAATGCTTCTATAACGACATGAGTAAATATTTCATGAAAAACACGGACCGATTAAAGTTAGTTTACTGTTGAAAACGTGGAAGGTTGAGACAACCGTCTAGTCATAATACGGGACTCCTTAGAAACGTACATTCACGGACTCACAAGCAGGAGTCGGACCCAGGACCTACAGTCTCATATACAATTACTAAATCGTGTCAGGTGTGAGGAAGTTATCCACTGAAGACAATGTAAAATAGTCTCACATTATCGTGGATCTTTTGAAATTGGAGTTGTACGTCAATTAATTTCGGCACAGTAGTATCGATGTTAAGCGTCAGCACGCGAGAGTAAAAGTCCTGTACCCAATCCCCTCTCTCAGCTTCGTGGATGCCCACTGCTCAGGAATCTCATGCCAGGATGAAAGGGTCTCCCAGTGCTTTTATGTTTTTAATGGCAGTCTAACATTGATCAGCTCATGATTTCAATGAAATTCAATAACCTCCACAACTTCCAGTTGGCTACACCACATCAATATTATCAGTTTATCGCTCTATCAATGCTTGCATTAATGTTTAGATTAATATACTTTAAAAAGAGATTCTGGCTATCACATAAGGTGACTCTTTGATATCATGAATCGAATAAAGTTAGGAACTAAAATTATGGGGTGCCAGCTCAGTGGTCTAGAGGTTGTGTTCGCGCACAGAACTGAACTTTCTGGATTCTATTACCACATGAGAGACCTAGGATGCACACTGTTGACGAGTTCCATACTAAGGCGGAACGACCATCCAGTATATCCAGGTTTCCAGTGGTCATCTAATTTTATTCATTTCTTGACTTTAATAAAACGTCATAATTTCCATAATCCCTTATCAGCTTTACTTACTTTCATGGTATAATGAGAAACTTAAATGCATAATGATATAAGCTGGAGCATAATCTTCATTTTCACTACATTGATTTAATAATGGACCAATGAATAAAGCCAATTGTTCCAGAAGTTGATTAGGTATACATTTCATACCCTTTGTCTATAAATGAAGGGGAATGTACAATCAAAGTTTTACTAATTGGTTAAACATAAAAGCGAAAAAAAGCTATAAAAAGTTCTGAAAACAATTAATTATGGATGAATAAATTTGAAGAATTTATCATTTCAAGATACTACTTATAAAATTTAATAGTACTCTATTTTTGCAGTATAAAAATTCTAGGAACGTTTTGTTCAATCTGACCCAAACATTTTGAACTACTATTAATAGTACAAAATTATTCATAATCAATTTTGAACTTAGACGTAAGTCATTTCTTAGGTGATATGAATTGTTATACAGCTTGATTTAACTGGAATTGAAAGAAAGTAGTTCTAATGATGAATACAATAAATATTATAAGTATATGTAAATATTTTGGAATATTACACTATCAACTTGCGTTACAACATGCGCGTAGAAATTACTACGAATACAACTATTTACTGAATATGATTAAGTAGGAAAAACAATGTGGAAAAGAGTTAAAGTGAAGAGAGTAGGAATAGAAAATAAACAGACACAAGTTGGGATTGAATAAATGAGAAATATGTACAGGTGAAAAGCAAACAATCGTTTGCTTTTATTTCAAACTCCTCAGAAGTAATTGTTAACAACCTAGAGACTTTGATGACAGGATCGCTCATTCACACTATATCATGTGATAACGATAATAAGTAATCTGAATTTCAGTCACTTTGTAATGAGATATCAAGCGCTACTTTATCCACGAGAGGTTATCAGTTTCTAAAATATTGTTTGAAATATTGCCGTTCATCAAGATTAGACTATCAATGATATCCTTGAGCAAATCAGCAATATGCTTTTGACCTAAATCATTGCAGACATCAGATGGAAAAAAACTTAAATCTTTAGTGGGATGACTGTTATATGAAGGCTATTTCAAAATGAGAACTTCACAGAATCACTTGACTCATCTCAATACGAAAACATATTCTCCATGAAATGACAAAATTATAGCTTACTTGAGATTTTAGTTCTTTGGCAAATCTTGAACGACCACTATGCCTCTGAAAGCAGAAAGTGAAAATTAGTCAAATCATCATTAATTTTTCGGGAAAAAGATATATTATGTTCAATTTGTTTCTTTCAAGTGGACTTCAGCCATTTTTATTTCATTACTTACGCCATATTACTTAATATGCTTTCAGTAGTATTCCGTTTTCAATCATAGTTTATTGGCTTGTTATGACAATTCACTGACCGATTACTTTTGCTACTAGATGTAAAGAAGCAGTATTTTACTTCCATAATTCCCCTGAAAATTCGTTTAAGCACGAAAAATCTTGGGTACTGCCGATATACTAGGGTTATGAGAAATCAGATAAACTCAAAGATGTTTTATTTACGTTTAGACAATTATGAAACATAACTCCGAATGCAGTCCCTCCGGAGGCCACTGCCGGTCCCAAACCCGGATAAAGGAGGAGGGTTGTGCATGGGGTTAGCCACTCCACCCCATAGAAAACTAACTCGCTAAAAAAACGCCAACCAAAAAAAATTATTCAAACCATTTAAACTCTACCTTGGGAGTCAGAAGGTTTTCATTTAGAACAGTTAAGACGCCTCATGATGAAAGCCGAGTTCCTTCGGAAGTCACGAGACTGGTACCCCTTCTGACAACCAGAGCAACCATTTGTTTAGGTACATGTGATGCTCATACAATGTCGGAGACTGAGAGAGTCTTCCAAATCGCTGCAGAAATGAGGAGATACAACCTAGAGGTACTTGGCTCAGTGAAACACATTGAACACAAGTTGGACAACAAAGACTAGCTTCAGAGGATCTTCTGTTATACTCCAGCCATGAAGAAGAAAAAGCCCCACATACACAAGGAGTTGCGTTGATGCTGTCCAAACAAGCACAAAATGCACTTATAGGATGGGAACCTCATGGACCAAGGATCATCAAAGCCTCCTTCAAAACAAAGAAGGAGGGCATTTCAATGAATATCATCCAATGCTATGTTCCTACCAACGACTACAATGCAGACGTTAAAGATCAGTTTTACGATATGCTGAAGTCAATCGTCTAAAAGTGCCCAACAAATGACCTGACCATTATGATGGGAGATTTCAACGCCAAGGTTGGAACGGACAACACTGGATATGAAGACATCATGGGACTGGGAGAAAGGAACGAAAATGGTGAGAGATTTGCAAATCTATGTGCCTTCAATAAGCTAGTGATAGGCGGCACCATATTCCCACATAAACGCATACACAAAACCACATGGACTTCACCGGATCACTCTACACAAAACCAAATCGACCATATTTGCATCAACAAAACGTTCAGGAGGACTATAGAGGACGTGAGAACCAAGAGAGGAGCTGATATAGCATCAGATCATCACTTACTGGTCGCCAAGATGAAATTGAAACTCAAGAAGCACTGGACAATGGGGCGGACAATATCACAAAAGTTCAATACGGCCTTTCTTCAGGATACTAATAAACTCAACGAATTCGAGATAGTCCCCAGCAACAAGTTCCAGGCCTTTCATGATCTACTCAATGGAGAAGGAACTACTATGGAGAGCAACTGGAAGGGGATCAAAGAAGCAATCACTTCGACATATCATGGGGTCCTGGGTCACAAGAAGCACCATCACAAGGAATGGATCACTGTTGATACACTGGATAAGATTCAAGAAAGGAGGAACAAGGAAGCAGCAATCAATACCAGACGAACAAGAGCAGAAAAAGCCAAGGCACAAGTTGAATACACAGAAGTAAACAAGCAAGTGAAGAGGAGAATAAGAACTGACAAACGTAAATATGTGGAAGATTTAGCAATGACGGCGGAAAATGCTGCAAGAGAAGGAAACGTGAGACAATTGTATGACATAACAAAGAAACTCTCTGGAAATCACCGTAAACCAGAACGACCAGTGAAAAGCAAGGAAGGCAAGGTTATCACCAACATTGAAGAACAACGAAACAGGTGGGTAGAACACTTCAAAGAACTCTTGAATCGACCAGCCCCACTGGACCTACCCAACATGGAAGCAGCACCTACGGACCTCCCAATCGATGCTGGCCCACCAACAATTGAAGAAATCAGCATGGCCATCAGACAAATCAAGAGTGGCAAAGCAGCAGGACCAGACAACATTCCAGCAGAAGCACTGAAAGTAGACGTAGCGGCAAATGCAAGGATACTCCACATTCTCCTCAATAAGATTTGGGATGAGGAACAAATACCAAAAGACTGGAAAGAAGGACTACTGATCAAAATACCGAAGAAAGGCGATCTCAGAAAGTGTGATAACTACAGGGGCATCACTCTTCTCTGAATACCGGGAATTGTCTTCAACAGGGTATTGTTAAACAGGATGAAGGACTGCGTAGACGCCCAACTTCGAGACCAACAGGCAGGTTTTCATAAGGATAGATCGTGTACAGACCAAATCGCAACTCTACGGATCATTGTGGGACAATCAATTTAATGGAATTCGTAACTCTATATCAACTTCATTGACTACGAGAAAGGATTTGATAGCGTGGACAGGACAACACAATAGAAGCTTCTTCGATACTACAGCGTCCCTGAGAAGATAGTAAATACCATACAGAGTTCCTATGATGGATTAAACTGCAAAATTGTGCATGGAGGACAAATGACAGACTCGTTCGAAGTAAAGACCGGTGTCAGGCAAGGTTGCTTACTCTCACCCTTTCTCTTTCTCCTGATGACCGACTGGATCATGAAGACGTCAACATTTGAAGGGAAACGCGGGATACAGTGGAGATCTTGGATGCGGCTGGACGATCTTGACTTTGCAAATGATCCGGTTCTTCTATCGCAATCGCAACAACGAATGCAAGAGAAGACGATCAGTGTAGCAGCAGCCTCAGCAGCATGAGGTATCAACACACACAAAGGGAAAAGCAAGATTCTCCGAAACAACACAGCATGCACCAATCGAATCACAATTGACGGATAAGATTTGGAAGATGTAAAATCATTTACATATCTCGGCAGCATCGTTGATGAGCACGGTGGATCTGATGCAGATCGACAAAGCAAGAGCAGCATACTTACAAATGAAGAACATCTGGAACTCAAAACAATTGGTAATCAACACCAAGGTCAGGATTTTCAATACAAATGTCAAGCCAGTTCTACTGTATGGGGCGGAGACCCGGAGAACTAAGAAAGCCATCATTCAGAAGATGCAGGTGTTTATTAACAGTTGGGAGAGCACCCAACTGTGTTACAAGGCAAGCCCTCACATGGAATCCTCAAGTCCAAAGGCAAAGAGGAAGACTATGGAACAAACTACGCCGTGAAATGGAGACAGACATGAGAAGAATGAACAACAATTGGATAGAACTGGAAAGGAAGGCACGGGACGGAGTGGGTTGGAGAATGCAGTTCGGCGGCCTTTGCTCCAGTAGGAGTAACAGGTGTAAGTAAGTAAGTAGTATTGATAAAGTGTTTGGTGTTAACCGTTCGGGCAGTAAGTGATAACTATCATGCTAGGATTAATACCAGGGGGAAATTTTCCCTTTACATTTATCACAGCAATAAACTACCAACTGCCTATAACTCAACAGCATAAATATGAAGTTGGAACATTTGTTGCTTTGACATAGACTAAGATTTGTTTTGGCTTTGTTCTGTGAGTTAAATAAACTTACTCACATAATGTACTCCCCTATATTGTTATATGTATACGTTAGCCCTATCTTCGAGGAGCAGCTTAAGTAATTTAATTTATTTCCCCTTCTTTATTGTAGAATGAGAAGGGATCTCATATTAGTAGTCCGTGTCTTAAAAACTATTTGGGTGCAATGCTTTATCGTCTTGCTCCTAGTAGAACTAATCATACTTGAAGCTGTCATAAAGAGACTTCAAAATTAAAATCAAACAAACTCAGGGAAAGGTGTTATTTCTTCTATGGAATGGTTAACAACTGGAACACCATACTCGAATAAGTTGTATCAACCCAATTAGTGAACACTTTCAAGAAGAAACTGGATCATCAGTGGGAAACCTACCTCAGTTATAATAAAGGTTGGCCGATCTATCGTCTTTATACTATACTCTCAACTAAAATCCCGCAGGCTTTGAATTAAATCTCATACGGCATTCGTGTATATGTATCTTTAGTGGGCCCCAAATGCCTTGGTACATCCGATGGTGGAAAGTCAGCTCTCCCTCTTGAAATGTCGCGCGTATACAGTCACTGTCAGCGTAGTCCTACTCACTACCTTTTCACAGCAGAGGTGTTGTTTACAAAATTGAAAGAACAAAAACCTAATGTCCGACGCTTTGACTGAATTGATGGGTTTGGATGATTCGCCCAGGGGAGTTGGAAAACCCTGATTCGAAACCAATAGTGCACACGGGCTCCAGGATCTCAAGAGAAAAGTGGTGTACGAACCAATTATTGATCACCGGCTACCATGGAACTGCATCTCATGACGTTGCTTCACTGCCTTTTTGATCAGCCCTTTAGGTCAAAGGCTCCGGGAGTGACCTCATAAGAAAACCACCAGCTTCAGTCTAGACACCCGAGCAGTATCACAGTCCACATACAAATCAAGTGACTTGTATGGAGCATATGTACTCAGTGCTTTTTTGTACCAATATTTATATGTTCAAATAAAATAAAAACCCGAAAATAAACCTTTAGTGACTCTCAAATTCAGAGGAAATAACTCCGCATTAGTCTCTAGATTTTATTTTTTGTTTCTTCTTTGACTAACGTTAATTCATGATACGTATCCGACCTATATATTATCGAAAACTCTAATTTTCAAAAAAACTTCCAAGCAACGGAAGTGATAAAAACACTTGTTTTTAAAAGTTCATCAGTTCAATATATAATTGAGAAGAAATTTTCTTTGTTTTTTGAACTATTATTATCAGATTATTTCTTTAACTAATGACAAAACGGAAGTTTACCTCATTTTACATACGTTTTCGTTTAAAGAATATAATATTTAATATTGGAGTGAAATTCATTCGAGTTCCATTTTGAATCAAAGAATAATGAACT